TATTGGATATCCGAAGCCTGCCTTTTCCTGGTAAGATCACAACATCAATGTTGATTTGAATTGACAAATAATTCGTATTTTTTATGTGTAAGACTTTGGATGATAATGAGTTAGAGACTTAGCTACTTTAAACATACATTATGCAAGAGCTAAATCTGCCTATTGAAGGTCTTTCTTTAGGCCTGAAATGTCATATGAATTATTAATTAGACATTTATTAACACGAAAAGACCTTAATCAAATCTCGATGCTCTTTATCTAATCTTCATAATGCCCCTTTAAGCAGAATAGCACAACATAAATATAAACAATTATATATTAAAGATCAATGGCCTAATTCATGAAAGGGGTTTAACGCCAACTCGATACAAAATAGGTCATTTTGGGACTAGGGGTCTTTAGCAGTGGAAGGAAACCAGATGACCCAGAGAAAATCCACAAAGTTGGACTGGCGACCCTACTTCTTGTCATGTACAAGCAGGTAATCAAAACCATGCCACTTGACTCAATGACAGACCTTGTGATTTCACAGTCATGCATTAACCTGTTAAGTGCGTAGGTCGTTATATAACGTCCTGGACAACTGCCACTCACTGTGTGTAGGGCATAATATAATGCCTTGGAGGTATTTTCCCCAACCTATTCTTAGAACATAGTTTGTAACTTGGGTGAATCCCTTGGGAATTCCCCCACGATCGCAGCATGTGTAGGACGTTATATTACGTCCTGGACAACTGCCACTCACTGTGTGTAGGGCATAATATAACGCCTTGGAGGTATTTTCCCCAACCAATTCTATAGTACATAGTTCTTCATCACTTAATCAAATTAATTACACAATATGGGGTAGTTAACATTTTAAAAATGTCACGCTTAACGGGTTAAACCACTAGACCACCAAACCACCTAATATTTTAAAGCGGAAATTGCAAATTTTCAAGTTATATTTTTAAAATTTATTAAAATAAAGCCTGAAAATAGATGGTATCCATAAACAGTCCTACCTTGTTAAAGAATAATCCTATTAATCCTATAATTGACTATTGCCAGCTGAGAAATTGGCAAAAATATCATTTCCCTCTTCATTTTCAAACGTTTGAAAAAAACTACTCCATGGTGGAGAATAGAAAACAAGGGAGGTAATTGGGAGGTAATTGTGTTATTATTTCCTGTGTAAATGAGTTTTAAGTGTGAGAATGACACCTATGATCGTATAATTGTGAGTTGACAACCTATTGAGCAAAAGACATAGAAATAATTACGTTTTGACTTTCTTAGAAAATTTGAAATTCTCGCTTTAAGGATACAGCCATTTCATTGGTTGGGAGTTAAAGTTCTAGTACAGATTTTAGCTCTTAGCCAATGAAAGGGTAGAATTCTAAAAACTATTTTATTTTAAATTTTCATGAATAAGGCCCCTGCTTCTTATATCATTGGGGGGTATGACCAAACATATAATTCTTTATCTTATTTTTTTCAAACATAGATAAATGGATATCAGTCCTGATTGTTGATATTCGATAGTACGATGTTAATCAAATAAAAGATAATTTTGATAAAAGGGGTGATCTTCTGATCAAACAAATGTAGACTAGGAAGTAGAAACAATATCTCTGGCACGATTCCGAAATATTATCCTGTTAAGAGATATATATATATTTATATAAGCACGTGTCACAAGTACCTGTCACCTGAATAATCACTTTATGAAAGATAGAGAGGTGCACCTATTTGTGTTTATACAGAACACGATATGCTATATAACATAAAAAATATCTGTAGTTGAAGCCTATTAAAGGGAATGGAAGTTAATTGACCCTATTTCCTGTAGCTGATAAAATGACTTCTTGAGACCTATGTCTGACTTCCATTATTAACCTCAACTAAATATGTCCGAAGAGCAAAACTTTGTGTAAACTCTACAAGATTATAAAATAATGACCAAGTACTGATACATGTATCTAGGACAGGTGAATAACTAGAATAATCATAATTAACAAAACATTCATAAGTGGCCTAATGAATTTAAAGTACTGATACATATATCTAGTATAGGACAGGTGAATAACTAGAATGATAATCATAATTAACACCCAAATTGAACACCCAGTCGTTCATAAAAGTTAAAAGCTGTATTATATTATTCATATTAAAACTGAATGCCAGGTTAGCATAGATTAAAAAAATAAAGCAAAATGAATTAACGAATTATAAACTGTTGTTTGTAAATGTCTCTTTAATATACAAATATAGCTTTTATGTACATGTACTAGGAAGTTAAAATCTTTTCTCTTAAAAATTTGCCTAACCTGTCCTATTTCATATTCATCTACATGTATGTGCAGAATTTTATGTACATGTGTATGAAGACCCATTAAAAACACTATTATGGTCAAACCAGTGTTGTCAGTCTAAAGATTTGCATTTCATATGTATTTTAACATTCTTAAGAATTTCTAAAATTGAATGGTTTGTATTGCACATAAAAATGTCTTTTAGTTAACTAAGAATAGCCTGTGGTTATTACAAATTCATATATTTACACAGTGTAACTGTAGAATGAACACACAAAATACAACTGTTTTGGGGTTTTTTTTTGTATTTTGTATGCTTGATAACAACCAGTGAAATCTTGTCGAAATGTTGTGTGTATATAATATAGTGATTGTTATTGTTAATTGTGTTATTTTATGTTCAATTGCTAAATGTTATTCAAAGATTATGTTTAAACTCATTAGATGAACAATTTATTTCAAAGAAACAAATGTTTCTCTACTTCATTAGAAAATTATAATTTATTTTCACTGATATATCAAATTTTTGATAGATTTGAGAAACCCATAAGAATGATGAATTTTAACAATTTGATATGACACATGCGGGAGTACATAGACTATAGCTTCAGGCAGATATGTATGGCAAGTGAATACTTCTTTTATTTCAACACTAATATCCCATCATTGACACCTTTGATATATAAATAGTATGTGATATATCACACATACTTTACACTTACTGGTACATATATGATGTCTACTGTGTCTATATGTTATATAATAGTCCAGTACATATACATGATAAATAAATTGTATAATATTACACATTTTAAACATGCTTTATCAAAATTATCAAAGTCAACCAAGACACTATTGATTATACTCCATAATTTTCTTGCACGTAGGGGTCTTTAGCAATGGGAGGAAACCAGAGGACCCGGAGAAAACCCACGAGGTTGGACAGACAACCCTACTCCTTGTCACGTACAACCGGGGAATCGAAACCACGCCAGTTGACTCAATGATACAGCGCGCACATGCTAACCATTCAGCCATCCAACCCCCCCAATTTCACACATACATCATGAGATACACCGATGGTAATAATTGTATGGAATAATATAAAGCACTGTTTATTATTGACCAGGTTTCTCTAATCTTTTATCAAACAATAAATAAACTTGTATAATTTAACACATTTAAAACATGATTTATCAAAATGATCAAAGTCTAATACAACATTTTCACATGGATATCATGAAATGCCACAATAATCACAATGGAAGCATACATTCTAAATCTTAACAGTAAATGCTGGGCGAAGGCACTACACGCAAAGAAAACCGATAAGTGGAATTTAAAATCGCAATCAGAGACTATAACAAGTGCTCTATTTCACTATGGATTTCTTTCCTAGATTGTCCTGTATGGCCATTATGAAAGCTATAAAATAATATAATATCAATAAGTAGACTAATGTTTTAACCTATAAGCCAGACAGAGATTATGAATAGATTCATTATGTTTGGTGTGTCATGTAAAATGGTGTCAAGTTTTACCTGTCACAGTTAACGGCTACTGTAGTGGCAGTAAAACTGAATTTCTCTCTCATGACTAACTTTACACATAAATAAAGCATTTAAAAATAAGAAAAACAAATGTCATGGTTGTAAAATAAATAAAGATTACATTGCTGGAGGTTGGCTGACTGCGAGAAGTATACAGAAATGAAATCGGGTTTTAACATCTTATATTTCTGTTCCAACTGGGCTAATGAAGATGGGCATATGCCACAAAGTGTGCTATGAGATATATTTTGCACAGACTGTGTGGCAATATGGCCTACTCTGACATGTATTTCCAACCTGCACCACTGAGATGGGGGGAAACCAGGCTAGAAATTAAATAAAATGGGGTTTAACGTCATGCTGTTCCGCTCCGATTGGGCTAATGAAGCCAAGCATACGCTATATACAGTATGTTATGATGGAAATTTTGCCCGAGCAGCGGCACTACAGCCTACTCTTATACTGAATTCCAATTGCCAAGGGATCTTTTACGTGTCCACCAATGGGTACACAAGACCTCGGTTTCTTGTCTCATCCAAACCCGACTTGAAGATCTTGAGCAGTTTTCTCAGTGGGATCAAACTTCCTGGTTAGTGAGCCAGCGCCAGACTCACAGACCGACAGTACAACATTATGAATGAAGTAAGAGAGAAATGAGGTTTTACGTCCACTCGACACAAACTAGGTCATTTCGGGACTAACATATGGTCCAATTTTATTTCAATAGGGGATCACGTGGCTAAGTGGGTAAGACGCTGGCTCTCTAACCTGGAGGTCGGGTGTTCGATCCCTGCATTGACCGAGAAAGTTCATCCAGATTTTCCGGCATGGTCCCTCCTTGTCAGTGATGCAGGACCTGACAACCCATGAGGTTGGACAGACAACTCTACTCCTTGTCAAGTACAACTGGGGAATCAAACCGATGTCACTTGACTCAATGACAGACCTTATGATGTAGCATGCACGCCTAACCATTTGGCCATCCTCACACCCCCGGCACCCATTATGAATGAAGTAAGACGGGTGTTCTACAAACTGCCCATGGACACTGCCTACTGATATTAAACTTTTGTTAGTTATCTCAGTTTTATAAACTGTATATTACATGTACTCGCAAGTACATAATGTACGTAATGTAACAAGTGAATGCACAAACCTTCAAACTCTTTCCCTACATTTTGACCAAATTCTTCTAATATATGAACACAGGTACCAATCTGTAGAGGAAGGCCTGATTTTATATTACCATCGTAGTTATAGAAACCTGTAAAAACAACATTATTTTATATTACCATTGTAGTTAACTAGTTATAGAAACCTGTATAAACAACAATATTTTATATTACCATTGTAGTTATAGAAACCTGCAAAAACAACAATATTTTATATTACCATCATAGTACAAGTATATAAATACAACAATACATTATGTTATATTACCATAATTATCTTATGAGACTGATAAAATAAAGAGTACAACAAGTCCTTTGATGTAGAAGAGAACTCAAGAAAAACAGAGTTGACGAGTAAGTGGTGTTTATGAATCTGTTTTTCTTGAGCCCGGTGGATCCTTCACTTCTATGTTCTACTTTTTTTTTCCTGATCCTTTCCGCATCTATTGGTCCTCGAGAAAATAGCCTCTGTCTGCCACTCACAGTATCTGTATTAAATGCTGTCTTCATTAGCCCAGTCGGGGCAGAAAAGTAGGATGTTAAACCCCATTTCATTTCTGTATTAAATGTGCAGTGGGCAAGGGTTAAAGTTCAGGTACAGTACCGTGAGTACAACTGGTTAAAAATATAATTTTAAATTTAGAAAATATTTTAAGCTTTTTTTTCCGTTCCACATTGTTGGTTTATGTATAATTGTCACTTTAAGTAGATCTATTATAATCATCATATTTCCTTATGAGTAATAATAATAAGTATTCATAAATAATGTAGGAAACTGAGTTTGATAAATACAGATCTATATCAAGTTATTGTCTGCTTGGTATATTATAATTCAATTTTCATTATTAAATATTTGATTATCATGTCAAGGGGTTTAATTGAATAAAATGAGATGTCTGACACCGTCTTGTCAAATTTATATATTAATTATATTTTTCCTAATTACATGTACTACTATACTAGCTTTCTAATAGTGAGTGCAATAAGTACTTGACATAAATGTGAATGTGATTAAAGATCAAATCAGTTACTGAGTCAATCCAAAAGTGAAATGAAATGTAATGGGGTTTAACGTCCTTCTGTTCTGCTATGACTGAGCTTATGAAGATGTGTTTACGCCATACAGTGTGTTATGAGGGAAATTTTGCCTCGGCAGCAGTACAATGGCCTACTCTTATACTGAATTCCAACTGCCAAGGGATCTTTTACGTGCACGCCAATGTGTACACGGGACCTCATTTTTTCAATCTGATTAAAATACAGATCTATATTTCCTTTCGTTTTTTAAACTTTCGATGGCCTCTACTACATGTACATGAAGATCTGACCAGTTGTAGTGGGAGGTCGCATCAGGGGTCATTTGAGCGGCTTTTGACCCTATGACGTCAGACATTGATTAATCAATCAGTGTTGACATTTCTAGTGGTTTACCCACAGTTTCGTGCACAGCATGCCAAGAACTCACTGTGACAGACTGTTTCATTGGCTAATTCCTCACATCAAGCAGAACGTCTGCTATATAACAACTCTTCCAGATCCTAGTTTTGCAAAGACATGTAAAACAAAATTTTGAACCATAAAAAAGGAAATGAAATAGGATCTGTGTTTTAATCAGATGGTTGGTTTTTTTTTTGTCCAATCCAAATGACTTGACAGCTGTCCTTGTCAGGCCCTCTGTCCTGCACCACTGACAAAGGGGGAACCACGTCAGAAAATCCTGATGAACTTTCTTGGCCAATGCAGGGATCAAACACGCGACCTCCAGGCTAGCGAGCCAGCGTTTTACCCATTAAGCCACCATGACTCAAAAAAAAAAAAAAAAAAGTAAAAGTTGTCTATTATTATGGTCACAACAATTTGAATTTTTGTTCTTTATGAAAACATATTAAAAATATTGCTTCCTATTTCATTAGAAAAAAACTTAGGTCATTTAAATCTAAAAAGTTGTCTGCTTGGTTGATAGACTTGAACGCATTTAGTTCTATATTTTGAAATTTAAAAAAATAAAAAAACATCGTACATCGTTCAAGAAGCTATTTCTTTATTTATCAACAGCCTGAAGGACTAAAAATTAAATTTGTTTGGCCTAAGTGCAGCACTTTACAATCGTGTGATTAAAGGCCAAAAGTTAAAGTATTTTATTATTATAAGTCACAAAGTCAATCATCCATGGTAGAAAAGCACCTATTCATATCGTTATACATGTACAGTACATATATACATGTATGTCTGGTCAGTCACTTGAAACAATATGTACACTTGAGTGATTTCATGTTATTGTTTAATTTCAATCACTCTCCAGACAAAAATGAACACATTTACTCATACAAACAGAATCATTAACTACATACATGTATTTCAAAAGTGAGTACCAGTAGAATTATTTTGTTCAAATAACAATCAGCTTCAACAAAATCATTCAGTGTTATTAACTATAGAAATCCCTGAGTGACCACAATCTCCAATGCTATTATTATGAATTTTTAACAATATTCAATGTTATTAACTACATGTATGGAAATCCCTGATGACTTCGACTAAACTCCAATGTAATTATTATTTAATTTTTAACACCTGCAAGAATGATTACACAAACCCTTGTATCAGAAACTGGTGAATTGTTTTTAATGTACAGAATATTTGTAGAATATAACACTGTAACATGGTATGATTTAATCTTGTGTACTTGTTTAAAGCTGACTGATTAATTCTGATAATGAGTGTCCAATTCACAATTATTTAATTTCCTGACCACTGTTCAAAAATTAATCATTATACATCAATAATCAATTGGGTTATTTATTTTTTAACAGTGGTCAGGAAATTAAATACTTGTAAATTGGACACTCATTATCAAAATTGAATGGTCAGGTTTACTGGACACAAGTACAAATTGGATGATTTGGGGTGATTTTAAATGATTTTTACAAATTTCTAAGCAAAGATTTGATATTAAATGAATGTGAAAGAAATTAGTGCTAGATACACAAGATTAAATGATACCCAGGTTACAGTGTAACTAAACCACAATATACTACTCATACTCTCTCTTTAATTTTGATATATTCTTTTCACAAACAGGTGAGTGATCTGTTTTATTTCACATCCGCTTTCACCAAGGTGATATTGGCTGTACATATTTTATTATTACTGCCACATTCATTTTATCATCACAAAAAATATAAAACTTGGCTAAATCTGTATATAACCCAATGAAAAAAATTATATTAAAGAAATATACAACAATTGTCTCTTCTCACAAAAATATTGTCCTATTTTGTAAACCCGCCAAAAATCTAATAAAAGATCTATAGTAGTGGTGCCAATTCTTTATTGCTTTAACAAGATTTGAATAGTGTCTTTCATACAAGCGTATATTCATGTCCTATATTAAACTGATTTCTTCTATTTTTGTCATAGACACAGACCTGGAAATAAAGATTTTAGTGCCTCACATTTTGAATTTTGTGCCAGATATAGATATCAATAAATGTCTAGAATAAAAGAGAAATGAGCCTCAGACAAAATGACAGGTGTCAGAAGGATTGTGCCTGACAAAGTCTGAAATTGTACCTGTCAATGTCTGTGGCATGTGTCTTATTTCCAGGCTAGGATATGTACTGTTAAACAAAAATATACAACATTGTACTAAAGTTTAGGTTTCCTAATTTTTGACATTAAAGGATAATGTTCCTCTTCTTATTGATCATTGAAGTCACAAAACACTGTAATGGGGTTGCAGATGTATCATTTTATATCCATATTTGGCTTTATATCTGTAACGTATATGACATCACTTTCTAGGTGTCTTAATAATAATAATTTGACAGCCATATTTGATTTTGCAAACTTTTCAACTACAACATAATAAATGAAATAATACAATTAGAGTAACCATCTCCTTTAACAGCAAAATTTGTTGATCTGAAACCGAAAGTAACAGACATAAACATGTAAACAACACAAACTGTTCTCTGTTTTTATCATCCCTTTGAATAAACTTCCCTTTTCTATAAACAAACAAAATATGGTAAACACATTACAGTAAATGTCTCTTTCTTCACATTTAGAATGTGATGCTTAGATTTAGCCTGTATGTACATGTACATGTAAGTTTCTATGGTATATGTTCATTTGTATTTACTTTTAGATGAATTACACTGTACATGGATAAATGCATATTAGATACTGTTTAAATCATTAATAATCGAGTTAAAATTATATCTTTATTCTGTTCCTTCTTTACTTTTCTGATTTTATACACTATGCATAAGATCTAACACATATTCTGAATGGCGGCCCTTCAGATGGCCAACATTGGTTGTGTTATTAATCCTGAGACTTCAGTGTGTTGAGAGAGAGAGAGTGAGATAGAGAGAGAGAGAGGGGGGTTAATGTCCACTCAACACAAACTAGGTCATTTTGGGATTAACATTCAATTTTTATACAGGGAGATAGAGAGAGAGAGAGAGGGTTTAACGTCCACTCGACACAAACTAGGTCATTTTGGACAGGCAACCCTACTTCTTGTCACTTACAATCGGGGAATCAAAACCACGGCAGTTGGCTCAATGACAGACCTTATGATTGAGCGAGCACGCGCTAACGATTCGGCCATCCAACCCCCCAGTGTGTTTTTAAACAGATCCAAAATTAAAATACTGGAATCAAGAAATATAGAATGCCTGAAGAGCTTTTACCAGATTAGGAAATATAATTCATTAAAATTTTTAGAATGGAGTTTTACCGAATTAGGAAATCTATTATTAAATTTTTAAGAATGGAGTTTTGCCGGATTAGGAAATCTATTACTAAAACTTTCAAGAATGGAGATTACCAAACTTGGAAATACAATTTATCTAATTTTAAAGAATGGAGTTTTACCCGATTAGAAAACCTATTACATGTATTTAAATTTCAAGAATGGAGTTTATATCCTATCAAAATACAATGATTAGGAAATACAAATTATTTAGATTTTCAGAGGGTGATGTTTATTTAGACTTTTGTCTGTCTCAGCAAGTGATTTAAGTAAACAGAGTTAAGATTTGTTATAAGTAAACACCATGACTACCGGTAAATTTGTTAAAGTGTAGAAGTCAATAGAAAGTGTTATTCTACTGTTTAACGTCTGCTGAATGGACAAACTTGAGATTTCAGATGTCAATAAAATTAAATAATAGATGAAGGTTATATAAATATATCCATAGAGTTAACAGAATCTACCTATATATCTCTTGGATTCTCAATGATGAATTATTGATTACCAACTCAATATCACTCATATATTAGATAAAGAGATTATAGATAATGCACCTCATCTTTCGACCCTTTTCACCTTGAGATGTCCACTTGACACAAACTAGGTCATTTCGGGACAAACACATGGTTCAATTTTATTTCAATAATTCACTTTAGCAGTGGGAGGAAACCAGAGGACCCAGAGAAAATCCATGAGGTTAAACAAGCATCCCGACTCCTTGTCACATACAACTGGGGAATCGAAACCCTGCCAGTTGACTCAATGACAGACCTTATGATACAGCGCGCACGTGCTAACCATTCGGCCATCCAACCCCACACACCTTGAGATAATGGAGGATACTATATACATGTAGTTCTATCTGCTATAGCCTTCGTCAATCACAACAGCATTAAAGATATATTATGGGAGATTCGATAACGACTTGGCAGGTCTCACTATAATAATTAAAAACTAGATAACGTAAAGGCAATTTGCTGAAAATTTCTTTCAAATTGATCCACTATGAACTAAGGGAATGAAATTTCTGCCTAGCCTCGGTCATCATTACTAAAGTCAGTACGATAAACAGCATAGTCTCGATTATCCATTTAATCATTTAATCGAGAAGGAAAGTTATGCAGTAAATCGGCTCATAATCCACTTAAGATCGCAGGCTAGTGATGTCATTTAGAGTTGATTATGGTCTGGATAAGTTAATTAATGTCTAATTAATAATTTAGATAACATTTCAGGCCTAAAGAAAGACCTGCAATAGACAGATTTAGCTCTTGCATAATGTATGTTTAATTATGCAAAGATTATCTTTAAATCCAAAAACTGATTATTATACATGCATATTCAATTTAACCACACCCAACTACAATTAAACATATAATCCCATCTGACACAGTGGCAAATCATCTCTTTTAAATTGAAGCACTCAAGCAGTCATTAGGCAGACATTCATTTCATGTAGAGATTACTATTGTTACTATTTTTCACAACACCAAAAAAGGTTCAAAGAGTTAAACATTTGCATAGGCATAGGTGTAGTATTATAGTGTCGAAATACACTGCTAGCTTCTGTACATTCGTCTAAAATTACTGTTACATAATATGTATTATATTCCATGAACATAAAAACATACATCTTGCTGTGGGCTGCTGTCATATATTTATTATTTAACAAGAAAGCTAAGTAGATTAACTAGAGCTTAGAGAGTAGAATATCATGTATTATGCATAGATGTCATACACATTCACACATTGTATTTCATCATTCCATATTTTTAAATTTACCCAAAAATGAAAATAACATGGTTCTGTTCAATAATAATATTCATTGTGCTTGAAAATGACAAAAAAATCATTGTAGAAACATTGATCCAATAAAGCGGACCAGCAATAATAAAATGTAATGGATAGAAGTGTTTATTTTTTTAATAACATTCACAACTACATTTAATTAATAATGTCCCAACCTAGAATTATATCTAGAGATTAGATAGGCCTATACGTTTTATTTATGAGTGTGCTTTAATAAAATGAACCATTTCGTGCCATGCCAACTCTAGAGTCAAGCGTGGATGAACTTGAAATTTGAAACTATGAAGTGTCAATCACTCAGATCACTGTCAATGAAACTAAAATAAATGTTGACATTGAAAATAAACACTTACAAACGCCATATTTCACTACAGATGCTCTCCATGAAGGATTATCAGCCATTTGTAGAGGTTAAAATCTTACTTCCTCATATTAAAAATTCATAACCGTAAATAAAGTTGTATACCGCTTCTGTTAGCAGACCACACTTCCTTGGCTAATCTTTCCTAAAATAAACACGTTCTCGTATCTCGCCATTGTGTTATTGTCACGTGATTAACGGAGATCTACGAATGTAGTCGCGTTTGACATGCCTCATATCCGACTATATTTACGTAGTCATTGGACAATCAGGACTCTAACAGAGGTTAGTGCTAAATAATAAGGCCAACTCAATTTTTCGTCATAGGTCACGAGATGTAAACAGGGCTAGCGCTAATCTCAACCCTATTCCTAACCCCGGACCAAGCCCCAATGCTTACCCTAACCCGAACCTAGAATCTCGCCAACAATCACGTGCCCTAACCCTATTTACATCTGAACGACCTTGACAAAATTGAGCTGACCTTAATAAAAAGATTTAGCCCCCAACAGGTGCCCGTTAATTATTTCAACTTGATCAATATTTTCTACTTTGAACAGCAGATTAACTTATTAAAAAATATTTCAGATTTTAAAATGGTCTAAAGAAACATCAATAACACTTATTTTTATTATTTATTTATGTTTATTTACTGCCGAACAGCAAAATGGCAGCTTCCATGGCAGGTTCTGTAGTGTTATAATTTTTATTTTAACAAAAACATGACAGTCCACAGTGAAATGACTTAAGTAACAGGCATTACCCGAGTAGAGCGAAGCTGATTATTGTCAAATATAAACTTAAACCTTCATAATTAATTTTCTCAAGTGATACAAAAAATGTTTAATTAGTTAGTTTTTCCAAATTGATTTTTATTTATTAATTTAGATCTAATTCTAAATTGTATACATTAATTTTGTTATTAAAAAAAGAACAAAAAAGTGTGAGAATTATTTTCATTGACATCAAAAATATATGACGTCATTGATTAGACGCGTCATAGAAATAGTTCTATGAGGCGCGTAATCTCGCTTGGGTGAGATTTGGTAAGTTGAGATTTGGTAAGATGCATAATCTCGCTTAGGACAAGATTTGATAGAAGGGAGATAAGTCTGGTTATTAACATGCACATGGCCTGTTTGGCCTAGTGTAGGCCCTATACGGTTCCGGTCTGAATTGTTTTTAAACCAACAGTCTGTGACAGTTTCAGTTACGCTCCTGTGTTACTGGAAAAGAGCTTTGCTCAAGCACAGTGCTTCGCGCGATGCTTTAGAGATTCACTCTATATTAGTCCTTAACAGTGTCAGTCCGTATCATGTACTGACTTATCTAATAATTTTCTAAAACTCTTACCACTAAATTTTGTGTTGTCTCTGGGTGATTAAAATCCATTTCACATTGAAGGTTTTCCGAAACTAAATAAAAGTTATCACTTGTAATCATAAATTTGTTCATGAATTCGCCTAAGTAAATGTAAATAACGAGGTGATCATATCATGGACGAAACTAGTCTGTTGCCCCGTTGGGGTAATTCTGTCTGGACAGTGACTTTTCCGCCTACTCAACTTTTATTTCAAACTGGGAAGGGTTCTTTTACACGTAAACAGGTGACCCATCTGAACAACTACCCATAGGAACGGGTTATGGAAATAACTGCCCTAAACCAAAACAGCCCAAAAATTGGTCATAATGGCCAAAAATTTGGGTAACAACAGCTCAAAAATTTGGTCATAAGGGCAAAACATTATGGTTGTTATGACCTAAGGTCATTTTGACCACATCCCGTAGAAACCACTCCTGTCAAATGAAAACTGGACTTGAAAAGTCCTGAAGATTCTTACATGTATCAGCTTAAAATGTCATTTGAACCAGTGCCATTATAGTTAAGAGGCCAATGTCATTACTGATTCTTTCTTATAATTTATTTTTTTATGATCTGTATTTGTAGGTTCTTCAGAAAAACCAGTTCTGGAAGCATTACATCTAGAGGGTCTGAATGAACCTGTGTCATCTTTAGTACAAAATAATACTAGTATGATGGGTGATAGATGTGAACAGAATCCATGTTTATTGTGTGATGACGTCTCGGATAAAAAGGATGAGTTACTGGCACATCTTGTTATGAAACATAAATTTGTTATAGCTGATGTGAATTTAATCTCAAACTTTCAAAGGTATGACCATTATTATAATGTTTTATTAATTCATGAGGGATTGGATGGCCGAATTGTTAGCTCATGCACGCTGTATCATAAGGTCTGTCATTGAGTCATCTGACGTGGATTCGATTCCCCGGTTGTACGTGACAAGGAGTAGGGTCGCCTGTCCAACCTTGTGGGTTTTCTCTGGGTTGTCCGGTTTCCTCCCACTGCTAAAGACCCCTACGCGCAATCGAATTCTTAAAATAAAATTGAACCATATGTTAGTACCGAAATGACCTAGTTTGTGTCGAGTGGATGTTAAATCCCATCTCTCTCTCTCTCTCTCTCTCTCTCTCTCTCTCTCTCTCTGTACTGGGATGTTGTGCACAGTAAGAGTTGTGCTCATTTTTTAAATTCAAACAGTATTTTTCTATTTCTTTAACAAAGATGTAGATAGTATAGTAAGTGTTGTGTATGTGTCTATATGTCTCTATTTCTTTAGCACACATGTATTTATTGTAGATATATAAAGTACTGGAAGAAAAGACTAAAAGGACAACCAGTAACTGATTTTTGTTCTGTTATAGTAACAAATACTGATGTCAAAGATGAAGGTTTGTATATATGTCATTGATTGTATCATGATATCTTGTTTGTGCCCCAAAAGAAATCTTTTCTACCCAAATTGGTATGAAGAAAGCAATGATCTTTTCATAATCTGTAGAATGTGTGTGTGAAAAATGAAGTAAATCAACACAAAGGTTTAGAAAATATTAAACATACATTATGTAAGAGCTAAATCTGTCGATTGCGGGTCTTTCTTTAGGCCTGAAATGTTATCTAAATTATTATTTAGCCTTTAATTAAGTTATCCTGACCATAATCAACTCTCGATGTCCTCGCTAGCCTGTGATATTTATTGGATTAGAGTCGGATCTGCTGCTCTACGCTCATTCATGATTAAATCAAGAAATGGATAATCGAGACTATGTATTTTATCGTAGCGACTTTAGTAATGATGATCGAGGCTGGACCCAAAATTCAATCGCTAAATTCTCGGTTCAAAGTGGATCAATTTGACTGAAATTTTCAGCAAATTCCATTTACATTACCTAGTTTTTAACTATTATAGTGAGAACTGCAAGCTCTTTATAATGTATCTTTAAATGTTGTCCTTTATACGTTCCATATGTCTTTTTAATTTCAGATCCAAAAGAAGAATTTTATTTACTCTGTGATGTTCTTCCTGAAGATAAAGATCTTAGACAATTCTTACAGAAACAAAAATTGGTATGAAAGATTTTAGACTTCTTTTCCTTTTAGATTTATACACCATAACTTTACTTGTTTCACAAAACCTTACAGAAATTTGTTGAGTTTCTGGACTTTTTATGAAAGAAATTAGGCGGGTTTTAAAAGTTGATTTTCGATAATTTATTGTGGAATCTTTTTAAAATCCTTTTGTTTAATCTACAAAGAGATAAAGAGATTTATATCTGTTTTCATGTAGACAGAAAATAGTTTGTTGGAGTTATCTGCCTTGCATTAAAGTACTTGACGGGCATGTTTGGTTTATTTAGATCTTGACTCCTTTATTTACAGTCAAGAATTTAAGAGTGTTGATATTTTATATCTTGGATTTATAGTTTACAGTGATTAGAAATACTTCATGATTTGTTGTTTTTGTTTCAATGAAAGAAATAAATTCAACAATCCGATCCTGACTGGTGGGGTTGGATGGCCGAATGGTAAGTGCGTGTGCATTGTACCATAAGGTTTGTCATTGCCGTGGTTTCGATTCCTTGCTTGTACGTGACAAGGAGTAGGGTCGCCTGTCCAACCTTATGGGTTTTCTCCGGGTCCTACGGTTTCCTCACACTGCTAAAGACCCCTACGCACAAGCGAATTATTGAAATATATTAGTTTCAAAAGACTTTGTTTGTGTTGAGTGGACGTTAAACCCCATTTGTCTTTTTCTCTCTGATCGTGACTAATTTATAAAGAAGTTATATTTGATATTTATATGTAAAGGTATGATATATTACAGGAAGAAGTATTAGCTAGTCAACAGAAAGAAAGAGAAGATACAACATTCTCTAGACAATGTTTATTTTGTAAAGAACATTTTACTGGTAATAGGTAAGAAGAAAGAAGAAGATAATCTAAATAGATTCTGAAATAATGAAAGGGGCATTATGGGAGATCAGATAAAGAGCTGGCAGTTCTCACTATAATAGTTACAAACTAGATAATGTAAAGGGAATATGCTGAAAATTTCAGTCAAATTGCTCCACTCTGAACCAAAATATTAGCGATTGAATTTTAGGCCTATCCTTGTTCATCATTACTAAAGTCGGTACGTTTAAAAAAAACATAGTCTCGATTATCCATTTTGGATTTAATCAACAATGATCGTTAAGTAGCAGATCGGATTCAAATCCAGTGAAAATCCAACACATAAGATGGCATCGAGGGTTGATTAAGGTCTTTTCATGTTAATAAATGTCTTATTACTAATTTAGATAACATTTCACTCCTAAAGAAAGACCTGCAATAAGCAGATTTAACTCTTTCATAATGTATGTTTAACACAAACATACCTGTATAACATATCCCTCATATCCCTCATAGCCCAGTTGGTGTAGAAAAGTAGAATATTATATCCCATTTAATACCTGTCCTAAAATCCATTGCCACACATACCAGTGTCTGTACAATTTTTCCCAGTCCTTGAGATCTCATAACTAGAATTCTTCTGTCATTCAACAGTGAACATTGAAACATTTTGAATGGATTTGGCACTCTACAAATGAACATTATTATTATTGAATGTGCCTTAGAAGATAATTGCAGATGTTCCTTATAGAGTTTTTTATGTTTGTAATTAATACAAGAAAGAATACTGTTATTTGTTTTTGTTTTTGTAGAAGTGAGATGATAAACCACATGGCATCAGATCATTCTTTTAATGTAGGGTTACCTGATAATATAGGTAGGTACTATATCTATAGTTATCAGTACTTTTAACCCCATTGTGAAAGTTAGAGCATGTGTTTTAAAATGTGAAAACAGGTAATAGAAGCATAAAGTCAGACACTGATGTAAAGTAATTCTTTTATTTTAAAAAGTCTCAGATATTAAGTTAAAAAAATCGAAAATACTTTTGAAACAAATTTTCACTTTATTTTTTTTTTTAACTCTATTTTTTGCTTCTTGGAAAAGAATTTCTTCAATTTAATATGAATTTTGAATATGCAATTGATAACTGTTGAACAAAATAGCATTTTATGAATATTAAATGCAGGAGGACCACACCACACATAAGCAAAATGATGTTAAATTTGATTTCCTTTTTTAGAGTTCTCAGCTTGAAGACTAAAGGGAGATAATCGGTATCAGACTAATCATTTTTGCATTCTTCAATTTGTATTTCAGTTTATACTAATGAGTTTTTAGATGAATTGCAGTCTATGTTAGATAAGTAAGTACAGTTTTATTCTACTCTAGATTTTGCATTCCTCCTCCTCTTCCCAAATTATTCGTAGCATTAGAAACTCAGCTAGAATGGCACTGCATTGCACTGGTTCACTGACCAGGATGTTGCTGGTTAAATCCTGGCCTTGAATTGACAAAGCGATCCCAGACTTAAGTTGAGAATTTACTCAAATATAGCCCTTTATAAAACTTTTGTTGTTTTGATGTATTAAATAGATCGATAAGTAACTATGTGCAAAGTTTTGTGTTTCTGGATCAAAGATATTTTTCATAAACAATTATTGAAAGTTGAGTAAATTCTTAACTTAAGTCTGAGAATGGTTCCTCAGGATTTTCCATGCTGGTTTCCCCTTCTCAGTGTTGCAGGGCATTGGGCCTGGCAAGTAAAATCATCTAGTCGTTTGTATGGGATGGAAAACCAAGCTCTTGTGGGTACCATTGGTACCATGTTAAAGATACCCAAATAAAGAGTAGGCCCAAATATCACCTTGCATGGCTATGCCTGTATTCATTATCCCAGTTGATGCAGAAAAGTAAAAAGTTAAATCCCATTTCTTTCTTATTGAATATTGAAGTTTATATTGTGTTATATTATGTTTATTGTATATTGAAGTTTATATTGTGTTATATTATGTTTATTGTATATTGAAGTTTATATTGTGTTATATTATGTTTATTGTATATTGAAGTTTATATTGTGTTATATTATGTTTATTGTATATTGAAGTTTATATTGTGTTATATTATGTTTATTGTATATTGAAGTTTATATTGTGTTATATTATGTTTATTGAAGATTAAAGATGCAAAGATAAAGAGCTGGCCGTTTTACAAAATAGATAATGAAAACTAACTATAGTTAAAATTTCAATCAAATTACTTTATTCCGTGTGAAGTTATGAGTGTTTGAAGTTTTGACAAAATAGAGTGTAGATTGTTGATTATCATAACTATTTTCTTATTAAACTCTTCCCGTCTTCATTAGCCCAGTTCGGAGCCCAGTTTAATTGCTTACTATTTATTACAAATATCGAATCCTAATTAAATTCTCGGATTATCCACTACCCGCGTCTTTTTCCGTCATTTTCATCTCAGAAAGTGTTGTACGTCTAACTCTTCATAAAGTTTATCAACTTGTACATCAAGCGCTCAATGTTCGCGTGTGACCTTTGACATCACGCGTGCAGAAATTCCTAATCATCGAGGTGTTGATTAGGGGAACCCTTACATTTTTGTCCTGTATACGCTCCAGTATTTTTCTAGTAAGATAGGCTATCTCTACATTCCATATATACCAAAATTACCATATCTTTATTGGAAATAACCACCCGATAAATACTTTTCTGGGAACACATCTTTAAACTCTTAAATGACTGCAGTGTTCTAATCTACTTAAAATTGGAGCAATCTGATGACCCAGAGAGTTTATTATGAGCTTGTCATGTTAATAGAAGTTTAGGTAATATTATTATATTTTGTTTATTAATATTTAAAATGTTTATAATGTGATTTTTTTATTGTTTATTGAAGTTTAAAATGTTTATATTGTGAGAAGACATTTAAAGATAAGACATCACTGAAGGAACATATGAGAAAAAAACAACATCGTAAAATAAAGGCTAACAACAGAAAATATGATAAATATTATGTTATTAATTATCTGGTACGTAGATTGTTTTTTTTTCTTTTAAATTTAACAGGGTGAGGGGTGGCGGGTGAGTCATGTGGCGTAGTTTCGATCCCCTAATTGTCCTTGACAAAGAGTTGGGTCACCTCTCTAACCTCATTGATTTTCTTCGATTCCTACCACTTGTAAAGACCCCTACAGGTAAACAAGTTATTGAAATGAAATTTAACCATATGTTAGTCCCAAAATTATCTAATTTGTGTTGTCTGGTCATTCAACCCTGTTTCTATTTCTCCTTTTGGGAATTGGGTGGCCGAATGGTCTGTCATTGAGTCAAGTAGCATGGTTTTGATTCCCTGCTTGTACGTGACAAGGATTAGGGTCACCTGTCCAAACTCATGTGTTTTCTCCAGGTCCTCCAGTTTTCTCCCACTGCTAAAGACCCCAACGTGCAAGCGAATTAATGAAATGTTAGTCCCGAAATGGCCTAGTTTGTGTCGAGTGGACGTTAAACCCCATTTCTATCTCTCTCCTTTAAATGTAAGTTGTGTGCAACTCAAAGAATTCAGAGAATATGATATGAATAGAGTTTATGTTTCGACCTTCTTGAGACTAACATACAGTTATGTGTACTTGCGCATTGCTAGGGGGGGGGGGGGTTGGATGGCCGAATGGTTAGCACTTGCGTGCTGTATCATAAAGCCTGTCATTGAGTCAACTGGAGTGGTTTCGAATCCCTGGTTGTACGTGACAAGGAGTAGGGTCGCCTGTCCAACCTCGTGGGTTTTCTCTGGGTCCTCCGGTTTCCTCCCACTGCTAAAGACCCCTACGCACAACGAATTATTGAAATAAAAATTAAACCATATGTTAGTCCCGAAATGACCTAGTTTGTGTCGAGTGGACGTTGAACCCCATTTCTCTCTCACTCTCGCTAGGGAGGAGAATTTTATCAGAGAAAGCATTTCAAACAGTTAATTGTTCTAGCCACAACAGTTATTTGTCGATCAGCTTGAAATTTAAGCACATTATTCAGATTTGTTTAGGCTAGAGATTGTTAGCAATTTCTGTCAATTACTTCTAGAGTTATGCTCCTTTGTTAAATGTTGTGAAATCTTATGATTGTTCTAACAAAATTCATCAAATCATCTGCATTGAATTCAATTTATGTTCATTGTTCATTAAAGATACAAAAAATTCTGTTGAATTTGAACAATTCCTGTTAATTACTTCTATATTCAATTGATGAATTTTATGAATGTTTTGACAAAATTCATCAACTTATCTAAATATTCTTTGTTTAGATGATTGTGACGAATATGTTTACCAAATTAAACAAATTCTGATAATTACTTTACAGTTATTGCCCTTGATTAATATTGTTCTATCTTGTTATCAACTGCTTGGACGGCTTGACTTCTTTTTTGTTGTTGTATGCTTTGTTGCCTGACAACCTATACTTTGTTTAGATTATTGTGACGAATATGTTTACCAAATTAAACAAATTCTGATAATTACTTTACAGTTATTGCCCTTGATTAATATTGTTCTATCTTGTTATCAACTGCTTGGACAGCTTGACTTCTTTTTTGTTATTGTATGCTTTGTTGCCTGACAACCTATACTTTGTTTAGATTATTGTGACGAATATGTTTACCAAATTAAACAAATTCTGATAATTACTTTACTGTTATCACCCTTGATTAATAATGTTTTTACTGCTTGAACGACTTGACTTTTGTTTGTTTCCTGACAACCTACACTTTCCCAAAACTTGAATTTAAACTGACGTCTTTTATGCGGATGATTTTCAGGAATTGGGAAAGAATTGGGAAGAAATTCAATCAGAAGAAGATTATCATAATACAGATGATGATGTGGATGATGAAAATGAAAATGAAGAAGGGTGAGTTGTACCTTTAATATCTCTATTGAATTACTTGTAAACTACAATGTTGTGAAAGATGGATCTCTCTTATAGGAATATCAGTAAAAAAATGGTTAGATTCCATTCAGTGATGTGTGGAATTCACAATCGCCATTTAATAATTTAATTTATAAATGGATTTGTTTGTTATTGTAACAATGGTAACAATAAAAATCAATTTTGAAACTATTATAACGAGAACTGTTAACTCTCTCTAAATCTTACATAATGCATCTTTAATATATTGGTGTTGGTAACTATTCTTTATAATCATGTAATGCAACAGTAACAAATGTGTAGGGTTCTTGCGTTAAAAGGTGGGTTAACGCGGGCGCATTTTATCATAAGGTCTGTCTTTGAGTCATGCGGCATGGTTTCGATTCACCGCTTGTACAAGATAAGGAGTAGGGTCGTCTCTCTAACCTGGTGGGTTTTCTCCAGATCATCCGGTTTGCCCCCACTGCTAAATACCCCTACCCGGAAACGAATTATTTAAATAAAATTGAACCATGTGTTAGTCCCGAAGTGACCTAGTTTGTGTCTAGTAGATGTTAAACCCCATTTCTGTCTCTCTCTCTATCCAGCTGCCATGTGTTAATCTCCCTCTCTCTCCCCCCTCTCTCTCTCTCTCTCTCTCTCTCTCTCCCTCTCTCTCTCTATTTGGACTAGCTGCTATCTATAAATGATGATATTATGTTTATCACATAGTTTAATATAGAATATAATTTTATGTTTGTCACATAGTTTAATATAGAATATAATCTTATATTTATCACATAGTTTAAACAGGCATTATTTAAGAGCTAAATCTGCCTATTGCAGACCTTTCTTTAAATGTTATATAAATTATTAAATAGACATTTATTAACATGCCTCTGATTTTAAGTAGAGTGGATCGGTACAGCCATTTAATGATTTAATATAAAAATGGAGAAGCGAGGCTAAGACTCAAGTGACCAGTATGGTAGTTATGATCAATGCACACATCGTGACAAAACTACAACAATTGATATATTGGTCATAATAAAGTAATTTGGATGAAATTTTCAATATATTCATTTTGCATTTTCTATTTGTGAAATGGGGGGGTTGGATGGCCGAATGGTGAGCACGTGCACACTGTATAATAAGTCTGTCATTGAGTCAACGGGCATGGTTTTGGTGCCCTGGTTGTACGTGAGAAGGAGTAGGATCGCCTGTCCTACCTCGTGGGTTTTCTCTGGGTCCTCCGGTTTCCTCCCACTGCAAAAGACCTCTGTGCACAAGCAAACAAATTATTGAAACAAAATTAAACCATATCTTAGTCCTGAAATGACCTAGTTTGTGTCAAATTGGTGTTAAACCCAATCTCCCAAAATGACATAGAGTCGAATGGTTGATAAACCCCATTTTTTTCTCTCTCTCTCTCTCTCTCTCTCTCTCTCTCTTTATTTGTGAAATATTATATTCATACCTCAGGTCATTAGCATGCACATTATAAATGTTTCAGTAGCCACATGCAATATTTACATCAGTTTGATTAAAATACACATATCATTTACATTTTTAACACAATCTTTCTATTTTATACACAACGATAATAGGAATTACATGTATATGGAATGACCCTTGGACTTAGATGCTTGTTACAAAATATTAACAATTAATAATACAGACCACATACATGCAGAGTTTAGCACTGTCCATGAAAGTTTATGCTAATTAATGTTGACACGATATATTGTTGAATCATAGTATCACATTGCACAAATCTGTTTATTATTAAATGTTCTGTAATTTGACAGATTTCTGGTACAAAACAACTCACATTGCACTGAGAAACTTTCATACATCAGCCGTTGTTGTTTGTATTTTAGAGGAGAGCTGAAAAAAGCTCTCCTTATTCAACAAATTGAAAAAATCGCTCCCCTAATAAAGTTCTCCCAGTTTCGATAAGAAGAGTGATTAAGAAATTAAGGAGAGTGATCTGATATCAAGGAGAGTGATTTGTTGTGTGTATGGGAAATGTTTCTGAAGATCAATAACTGCATGTTAGAGGATCATTCCTGGATTCATAAATGATAATAAACCCTCCATGACTTTGTAAAGGAGAGCGATTTTCGAATTTTAAGGAGAGGGAGAAAACCTCCCCTCGATCAACATTCAGGTGAGCGGCAGGCGCTTGAGTGCGATCGCTCGCCTTAAAAAACAATGACTGATACTTTAACTGATTATTTAAGTTCTACGTAATTTGATAATAAAATCATTAATGATGTTGTAATTTTGAGATCAGAAACAATATTTGTCATAAACCATTCATAGAAATTTGCTGAAATTATATCTCTTGAATAATGTAGATGTCTAAAGCCATATATGTTTTGAAATGTATATTCTTTGGATATGCATCATAGTTTTCACTTGTAGATTAACTGAATTTTTAATTTCTCAGTCAAACATTTTCCATGGTTGTGTCTCTTTGTGTTCAATCTGACCTAAATGAGAGTCCTACTCTAAATCTACATTAGTCAAATGTTGGGTGGCCGTCTGGCCGAGTGGGGTAACACGTTTACCTTATATCATAAGATCTATCATTGTGTCAATGCCGGTGTTGGCCAAGAAAGTTCATCATGTCAGTAGTGCAGGACGGAGGATCTGATAAGGACAGCTGTCTAGTCGTTCGGATGGGATGAAAAACTGAGGTTCCGTGTACACATTGGCATGTACGTAAAATATCCTTTGGTAGTTGGAATTCGATATAAGAGTAGCCTGTAGCGCCACTGTCCAGGCAAAATTTCCCTCATAGCACACTGTCATCGTATGGTCGTCTTCATTAGTTGGATTCTGGGTGACAAGAAGTAGGGTTGCCTATCAAACTTTTTGGGTTTACCCTGGATCCTCTGCTTTCCTCCCAATGCTAAAGACCATGGGTGTGGATTTAGTGGAGGATGGGGGGGGGGACGTGTCCCCACCTTAGAATCGGAAGGGGGGGGGACGAATAGGTCTCTGTCCTCCCCATGATTTTGATCGCCAGGACATATTTTCAGGTTTATACATGATGGTGAGCTTGTTTCTACGTATCTTGGAACAAGAAATGCCATTTTTCAAGAGCCAGTTTTCGGCCAAATCTATTTCACATGTGCACTAAGCGTTCCTCAGTATAATCGCCTGAAGTGAGACAGATATTCCCTTCTGTCAAAGCTCTTCTTCGTCTCACACTTCTGAACCCTGCTAGTTCCTGCTCAGCTGAGCGCTCCTTCAGCACTCTGTCGTCAAGATATTCATAGAGAACAGTCCTGATCGTAGAATGAATGTCTTTGGACGATTCACTAACTTCATGAACAATTAATATTTGTGCAGCTTTGATGTAGGTAGTCAATTTTTCCATATTGTCATCATATTACCCCTAGTTACAGTCTTCATCGAAATAACACTGGTACAGTAAACTGTTCGTAATTATTTGTTTCATTTGGTAATGAAATGTTCCAAGTTCCAGAGTTTGTCCGTCCCCCCCAAATGTTATGACAAATCCACGCCCTTGCTAAAGACCCTTACACGCAAGCAAATGATATAACTGTATGTTAGTCTCAAATTGACATAGAGTCGAATGGTTGATAAACCCCATTTCTCTCTCTCTCTCTCTCTCTCTCTCTCTCTCTCTCTCTCTCTCTCTCTCATTCATTACTTGGATTACTAGGATTACTAGGATTACTTGGATTACTTGGATTACTATTATTTGCTTCAGGATGAACCTTATTGCTTTGACATTTATTGAAAGCCTTGAGTATTGGTTTAAAGAGATGAGTTCTGTAGACTTTGTTAAAGATGAGATATAGAAATGGATTAATGATTGGAGTTAGAAAGAGTAGTATAGTAGTAATGCTGTCTTCTAATCCCTCTATATGATCCTTCTTACTTGTATAATCCACCATCACTTTTATCTGAAGAGGAACAAAAAAAATATTTATTATTAATATTTATACTTTGATCTTTTTTACACAAATTCAATAGCTGCATTTACACTTGGAAGTGTTCCAAGCCACAAAAAAAATTCAAGAATTACACAGATTCCATTGCTGTATAATAATTGTTCTTGGAACCGTGCTTCAGTCATGGGGTCAAAGGAACAAACTTATTTCAATCTGGTTAAAACACAGATCCTATTTCGTTTCGTTTTTATAGTTCAAAATTTCGTTTTACTTGTCTTTACTACACTTGGATCTGGAAGACTTGTTATTTAACTCATGTTCTGCTTGAAATGTGGGGTCAGCCAATCAAATGCTCTGTTGAATCGAGTGTTTGACCTTTTTTGCCCGAAACTGTGGGTAATCCACTAGTAACATCAATGCTGATTGGTTAATCAAATGTCTGACGTCATAGGTCAAAAGTCGGTCTTTTGACCCCTGACGTGACCTATCGCTATAACTTGTCAGATCTTCATGTAGTGTAGGCCATCGAAAGTATAAAAAAATGAAACGAAATATAGATCTGTATTTGAATCAGATTGAAACTTAATGTTAACGCATGTGCCAAAATCCGTACTAAAAACCATTCCGAGACCTGATATTGTTTACACTACGAAAATGTAACTGCGTTTTGCTGAAAACGGTAGCAAGACGACGTCACTTCGGTGGTCCAGATTGTCACGGTTCTCAGTACAACAGCACTGTTGATGCAGAAGAGTAGAACGGTAAAGCTGATTTTATTTTGGGACAGAGAAGTGAGGTCCACATTTTGGCATGCACGTAAAAGCGCTATTGACAGTTGGTGCAGAAAAGTAGGAAATGAAATGAAATGAGATGAAATGGGGTTTAACGTCCTAGAAAAGTTAAATGCCAATTTATAAGCTCCTCACATAAAAGAGCCATTAACAGTTGGAATTTAATGAAAAGTAGATAGAAACGAGTCAACACTGTCCAGGCAAAATGTCCCACAATGCACACTTCATGACATATTCCCCGATGTCATTAACCCAATCTGATTAAAATACAAATCTATATTTC